TTCCCCTAATGCTCATGTTCCCCTTATGTTTATATCCACCCAATGTTTATGCTCGCCGAATGTTTATGTCCACCCAAATGTTTAGGTTCACCTGATGCTTACGTTCACCCAATGTTTAGGTTCGCCCAATGTTTCAAATCAATTTCATTGTCGTTTGATGGCCAATACTTATTTTGCTTTGAATCTAATGACATGGTCCTTCCTATTCCGATTTCCCTATAGAAACATTATAATAACTTCCAACCCCTCCCCTTAAGGAAGTCTTATCTTAGAGAAAAACTTTAAACGTGTTGATGTTATTTTTCCATATTTTTTAAAATTATTATTTTTAAATTATTTTTTAAACATATTTATTAAAATTATTTTAAACATTTTTAATGAAATTATTTACGTGCTACCATATATTACTTATGCAAAAAGAAAAGTCAAATTTTCAGAAGCTAATTCCACCAAGTTGCTTCAGTACAATTTTTTACGACCTCACCTGACCAGTTTGATAGACTCACCTGGCCAGTGTGATAGAGAGACTCACCTGGCCAGTGTGATAGAGAGACTTACCTGGCCAGTGTGATAGAGAAACTTACCTGGCCAGTGTAATAGAGAAACTTACCTGGCCAGTGTGATAGAGAAAATCACCTGGCCAATGTGATGGATAAACTCACCTGGCCAATGTGATGGATAAACTCACCTGGCCAATGTGATGGATAAACTCACCTGGCCAATGTGATGAATAAACTCACCTGGCCAGTGTGATATAGACTTTTTTTTTTAAAGACTAGGGTGGTAGTGGTTGAAGCAACTTGGTTGTCATTTTTCTGATGAACTACAAATTTCAACCCATCTAGGTTTAAAATTATAGGTTTAAAAAGTGTGTATCCTGCAGTTCTTAAGATCAGTACTTACCTGTACATGACATTTGTACCGGTACATTACAATGATGTATAAAGTGGGACACAGAGGCATCCCGTCTGCTCACTTCCGCCAGCAAAGCAACTCAAAAATCTTTCATGGAATTGAATGGTGTGTTAAAATGCTGTGCGCCTGTTGTCTTGCTGTCAAAGTTGGAAATTTTGTATCTGTAAGCACGCTGCCTTTATTTAAACTTGTTCCACTGACAGGGTTCATATTTATACATGATTTATATTCCCCAATAAATTGTCGTAAAAATTAAAATTAAATTAAAATGCCAACTGACATAATATGCAGAGCATTAATGTTTTAACCTTTACAAGATGTGCCGCACTTTACAACACAATTTCAATCTACACCAGGGGCGTCATTTAAGGTTTTTTTAGGGGGGGGGGGTGGAACAAAAATTGGTCTGATTGTTAAGTTGTTTATTATTGGAGGCGCCACAATGCATAGCAATTTAAATAAAACCTACACATTCAGAAAAGGGAAGGGCATAAATGCACTGTACTGCCCTACACAAATGATTTCCCTGCCCTACCCAAATGACATACCTGCCTTACACGAATGACATCCCTGCCCGGCCCAAATGACATTCCTGTCCTGCCCAAATGACATTCCTGCCCTACACAAATGACATCCCAGTCCTGCTCAAATGACATCCCTGCCATGCCCAAATGACATTCATGCCCTGCCCAAATGACATCCCTGCCCTGCCCGCGGCTCCTGAAATGTTTCATTAGCAGATAGAATTTATGAAATGGGTTTTTTTTAAATTATTTTTTTTAAAAAAGGAAGCCGACCCAAACTTAAAATAATTATAATTGTTGCATAAAATAATAAAGTTATAAGTATCTGTAATTTAGTGTTATGAAGTGAATTTTTTTCCAATAATGTTTCGCTTGTAATGTGACGTAACATTGCTTACACCCTCTCTCCCTCGTCACACATGGCCATATAAATGGAGCCCCCCTCTCCCTTTCTTTTCGGGACGCGGGACGCCCTTTATGGATAGTCCCTTAGGCTTCTGATTATTATGAACTTACACACTCGCACAGTTACACACTCGCACAGTTACACACTCGCACAGTTACACTACAATCCAATGACACTGCCTGCTTTCAAAAATTCCGTTAATTTCTGCTGGAAATCAATATCAATTCAACCCCACAGTAACAAAAACAACAACATAAAACCATACATCATATCACACTGCAATGAACTTTGACTCGATTGGGTGCAGCTGTTGTCTTGTCTTATTGGAAGACTGCACCTAGTCGTTGATCAATGGAGAAGGTCATTGCCCACTGGTAGATAGATGTCTGTCGTGGGTCACGAGAAGGGGCATAACCCACTAGAAGTTAGATGTTTGTCGTGGGTCACGAGCAAGAAGGGCAGGACCCACTATCTAGATGTTCTATCGTAGGTCATGAGAAGGTCATTGCCCACTAGTAGATGTCTGTCGTGGGTCACGAGAAGGGCAGGACCCACTAGATAGATGTTCTATCATAGGTCATGAGAAGGTCATTTCCCACTAGTAGATAGATGTATGTCGTTGGTCACGAGAAGGGCAGGACCCAGTATCTAGATGTTCTATCGTAGGTCATGAGAAGGTAATTTCCCACGAGTAGATGTCTGTCGTAGGTCATTGCCCACGAGTAGATGTCTGTCGTGGGTCACGAGAAGGGCAGGACCCACTATCTAGATGTTCTATCGTAGGTCATGAGATGGTCATTGCCCACTAATAGGCAGATATCTAGCGTAGGTCGTGTGAAGGGCATGACCCACTAGATAGTTGCCTATTGTAGGTCGAGTGAAGGGCATGACCTACTAGATAGATGTCTATCGTAGGTCGTGTGAAGGGCATGATCCACTAGATAGATGCCTATCGTAGGTCGTGTGAAGGGCATGACCCACTAGATAGATGTATATCGTATGTCACTAGAAGTGACGCGTCGGAATCCAAATTTAATTCTCTTTAAAAATGGAATTAAAATTTATAGACAAATACCCGGAGGTCTCAGAATCCACAGACTAATACCCGGAGGTCTCAGAATCTACAGACAAATACCATGAGATCTCAGAATCCACAGACAAATACCCTGAGGTCTCAGAATCCACAGACAAATACCCTGAGGTCTCAGAATCCACAGACTAATACTCGGAGGTCTCAGAATCCACAGACAAATACCCTGAGATCTCAGAATCCACAGACAAATACCCGGAGGTCTCAGAATCCACAGACTACTACCCGGAGGTCTCAGAATTCACAGCCAAATACCCTGAGGTCTCAGAATTCGGATTCCACTGTGGGGCTCATCCACAATTGACATTAGGATGTTAGACGGGAAATGGTGTGCTGGGAGAGGGGGGCGGTGGGGAACCAAGGTGGGCACGAAAAGGGGGCGTGGGGTTGGGTTTTATATTTGACATTATTTAATAATGCGTGTGTGCTGTGGGGGGGGGGGTGTGGAAGGCGCACTTTAGAGAGTGGGCCCCTATTTGGCTTTTATTCATTCAATGTTATCCCATTGGTCTTAAGCAGGCGCACTTTAGAGAGTTGGTCCCTAGTTGGCATTTAATCATGCAACGTTAGCCCACTGGACTTGGGGGGGGGGGGGAGGGGTGTGTTATCCACACTTGTATGGAAACATCCCATTGTGGGCGCGTGTTTAGTTATATTCTGTGGGAAATGATTTAAATAAATGACACATCACAAATTAGTATGCGTGTAGAACAGTTCATTCAAAAATAAAAATTTAAAAAAAACAAAAAACGACTAAGTATTACGTGGATTAAATACTCATTTTTTTTATATCGAACCTTCTGTAAACAACAAAAGCAGCAAAAAACAACAAAACAGCAACTACAGAAACAATAATATTTTTTAAATTAAATATTGCGTCTATAGTAAAGCCGAGAGGGTAGAGAGTAATAATAGTATCCAAGACAAACTATGACGAATGGAATCGATAATTTGGATACCTAAACCTAATTTAAAGCTAATGATGTAATAAAATGGGATTATGGGATACATCACAAAGCACTGACGAACACCTGATAATTGTATTCAGTGTATAAATGGTAAAAGATGATCGGGTTCAATTTTTGAGTTTTCTTTAAAATAGTCATGTAGAGTTTGCATGTTCAGGAGCACTGGATGTAATTAAAGAGAACATTAGGCCATACTGAGTAAGGCGTTGGAGAAGGCTACTCTTCGGCTGGTAGAGTTCCCCTTTTTGACACGCAGCTCATTTCCCAATCCCTAAAAGACAACAACAACAAAAGGCAAGAAACAAAATATTTTTTTAAAAAAATATTAATTTTTTTAATTAAAAAATCAACAATCCGACCCCAAAACCAACAAAATGGCTTGTTTATATAAACATTTTTATAACTACCAGAATCTCTTTTTACTACTTCTGCAGAGAGAGAGAGAGAGAGAGAGAGAGAGATAGAGAGAGAGAGAGAGAGAGAGAGAGAGAGAGAGAGAGAGAGAGAGAGAGAGAGAGAGAGAGAGAGATGAATATAAGAAAGAAAAAAAAAAAAAAGATATGTATAGAAAGAGAGAGGAGAGAGAGAGAGAGAGAGAGAGAGAGAGAGAGAGAGAGAGAGAGAGAGAGAGAGAGAGAGAGAGAGAGAGAGAGAGAGAGAGAGAGAGAGAGATGACTATAAGAAAGAATAATGGATTAACGTAGTCTAATTATTGAAGGAGATTATCACAATGACTCAATGACAATGCATGGGCATGGGATTTCGATATCTGAATCTGAAATTTGATATCACATCTTTTCTTGAACACACAAAATATTATGTTGCTTTTCTTTCCATTCCCTATCTTAAAACAAAACCGAGGTACATTAATTAGTCAGTTTTAAAATTTTTAAATTGCACTATACGTATAAATTTTAAAATAACTGTTTTCATACATGTCAACATTTTTGTAGTGTTTCTTGTTGGAATCGAATAGGATTAAATTATTAGGACTACAATTTTACTGTCGACCGAAGACTCGCCACATCATCAATCACCCAATAGGACCAAAACAGAGATAAATGTTTTCGGCTCCAAAATAATATTCTGCTATCTTTTACATTGTTAATCGGTTGGATTTATACACTTAAATTTATAATGATTTCCAAATAATACCATTTCTTTATAATTAACACATTTCTTTCTAGTAAACTATAGGTTTTCCCCACACTCTTCTTTGTTAAAAAGTATTTAAGAACTTTCGTTTTGGGTCACGTGACCCAGGGATAATAAAGCACATTTCCTTTTCTCATCACGACTATAAAGACGAAGATGACTGCCCCGGCTGCCCCAGCAGTAATTCAAAGAGCTGTTGTTAAACAGGTACCAATGCCGGTTAAGATTTTGAGAGTTGTTAGCCTCAGTAATATATGACGTAATATGTGTGTTTTTATGTAGGAAATGTCATTAGTTTGTTCCAGTAACTCTTCCATATTTCAGTCTTCGACATAACCAACGTTTACGTCTACGTTACACAGTAACACACTAATGACAATGACTGACTTAACATAGTTATGTTTACTGCTACTACACTACAGAATACAGCTAGGCAATTTATCCCACAATCAGATAGGCTTCTGGGTTTGCTATTTTTGAACTAACATCACTGCCTGTTCCCCGAAATCAATTCAATTCTAAATGTTGATTTTAATTTTATTCAATTTTCAATTAATTAAATTAATTAATACAATTATATGTCTGCCAATATATAACTAATATTCATTTTAAAATTCATTGTCAATATTAAATATTATCATTACTGACAATATTAGCCTAGACCCAGGGTCCTATAAATTTTTACTTCTCACTAACGCAACTGTCACTTACACTAAGAGTAAGATTAGTAAGAAATTAAATTAACTTAAAATTCTCTGATATGGTAGGCCTAATTAACCTATATCACTGTGTCAGAGTCATTGTGTACTGAGCTGGGCACTGGTATCCGTAGGGAATAGGGCTAAACCAAAAGTCATAAGTCATAAGCGTGTCTACATTAAATCAATTTATAAATTCAGTTTTATGTAGGCCTAGATTAGCTTAGTTATTTTATTCTGGTTTAACATATAATTTAAATGAATAAAACCAAAGGCATGACATGAGAGGCCTAATATTAATAACATTAATTTACATCATTTCATCTTTGTTATCCATCTTATAAAACGAGAAGAAACCTGTCATTCTTGGATTAATTATTCTCGACTGAATTTAAACTTTTGACAGCACTCTTAAAATAAAATCACAATATTAAAATGGATCCTCCCTACACTACGGATTTTGTATATGGTTCTGATTCCTTAATCTGGTAGGCTTAATTAAAATTTAATTCATATTGTCATAGTCTTGTGCATCAATTTTATATCAGTTGTTAATAATTCATTATTATAAATAGGTCTTGTCAGGTGACACTGTTGTGTTACGTGGCCAGCCAAAGGGTGGACCCCCACCAGAAAGAACTGTTTGCCTCTCAAATATTACAGCACCAAAATTAGCAAGAAGAGCGAATCCAAATGTTGATACTTCCGTTGAAACAAAAGATGAAGTAAGCACGATTTTATTTGTTAAAATTCAACATTTTTTTTTCACATGAACATAAACTTTACAGAATGCAATGACCTGTATATTATTCATTATAATTCTAATCTTAAGGCATTTTTTCTCTTCTCCAGCCTTGGGCTTGGGAAGCTCGTGAGTACCTGCGGAAAAAACTAGTTGGCAAAGAAGTTGTATTTACTGTTGAATACAAAGTTCCAGGAACTGGTAGAGAATACGGAATAATTTATCTTGGGAAAGGTACTGTTGTTCCATTTGCTATAAAAATTTTCAGTTTGTACTGTTAGAAACAAATTCAATGAATTTGTACCAATTCTTAAATTTTCTTTAAGCCATTTTATGATATTTTTGTTACTTTTAAAATTTTAGATACATCTGGAGAGAATATTACTGAATCCCTGATTGCAGAAGGTCTAGTTGATGTTAGGAAGACGGGTCTTAAAAGTGATGAGTAAGTCTTAAAATAAAAAATAGCTGGCTAAGATATATGGCTGGGGAATAAATACTTGTTGAAGTTGAAGGCTTGTTTTCAAAGGGCTGTGGGCTTTAATCACTAGACCCCCCTGGGATTGACACTCTTTCACCAAACAATCCATTGATGGAAATGTGCTCCAATCCTTTTTGCTTTACTATTGATAAGTTATCTCAAGGAAAATGTGTAAAGTACAGGTAAAGCCTTTTCATTTGGGCTCCTTATGAAATTTATAACATTGCTCTTAATCAAACAAAAAATTCAGACAGCCTAAGGTTTAAATTACTTCACGAAATGCTTATTAAAATTTGTATTTATACTGTTTTTGCTATAAGATAAGTATTGTCATACTTTAATTAGTGATATATTGATAAACTGTATAATTTTTTTCCATTTCTCGTCTTATGATTGATCTAGTTGTCAATTTTTAAAATAAAAAGTCTTAGTAGAAATAATCTATGTCAACCCAAGATAAGTGAGAGTGAAAAAGTGGAGACTGAGGGTGAAGAAGTGGAGAAAGAGAGTGAATAATTGGAGACTAAAATCTTTGCATGTTGTCTCATAGTTATGTAGTAGATTTCCTCTTTTGATTCTTATGCTGTTGCGAGAGCTTCCTCTGTTGTACAAAACATACGTTGAGTTTTACGCTTTCCTATTTCTTCCATATATCTGCTTTTTATCAATGGAAAGCTGATAACAGCATTGCTTTTTTTTTCCTCAAGTCCAAACCAACAGAGACTGGCTCAGCTTGAAGATGCTGCAAGAGCAGCAGGCAAAGGGAAACATGCTGAAGGAGAGGCCAGCAAGCATGTTCGTGACATCAAGTGGACCATCGACAACCCACGCCACTTTGTGGACTCACATCACAATAAGCCAATAGATGGTGAGCTTACATTCATTTAAAATGATTTGCAAAGCTTGAAAAAAAAAAAAGAAAATTGTGTATGAATGTGCTCAGCCAATAATTTCATGTCATCTTATCATTGCGCTTTATGTGTTCACAGCTGTCATTGAACATGTGAGAGATGGTTGTACAGTGAGGGCATTTTTGTTGCCAAGCTTTGAATATGTCACTGTTATGCTTGCAGGCATCAAGGTACGGCATCCTTTAAAGAACTTATTAGTCAATTCAATTATGAAACCAAAAAAGAAAAAAAAAAGTATAATGCAAAGCTATTAAAGCCATGTACCGGTATTGTCACTGAAAGTTCCACTAAACACCTGTCACTGAAACTTACACTAAAGACCTGTCCCTGAAAGTTCCACTAAACACCAGTCACTGATACTGACACTAAACAACTGTCCTTAAAAGTTACACCAAACACCTGTCGCTGAACCTTAGACTTATCACCCCACGCTTATCTAACTTTATGAATTTCTGTTTGGTGGTTTTGTCAAATAAAATATATATATATTTATTCTTGTGAAAAATAAGTACCAGCGATTAATTTTTTTTCCGTTAAACAAATTTAAGTTGGGATTAGTCTTTTCTTGATAACATTTTTATGGCTAAGTAGTACACTTGGAGATACTCACCCACTAAGGAGGTGTTCCAAATGTTTCAAACAATTACTGTAAATAATAAAACAGTTTTATTTTACACAAAAATAAAAATATTTTTAAATGCTGTAAGAGTATTTTGATTATGGGGTATCTGCGTGTATGAGCTCGGAAGTTTTAAAACTGTCTTTTGTACATTAATTCAATATAATATGTGTATGCTGATTGGTCTCCTCCCAGTGTCCAATGAATAAGCAGGATACAGATGGGAAGCAAGTACCTGAACCCTTTATGGAAGAAGCCAAATACTTTACGGAGTCGCGGCTGCTTCAAAAAGACGTCAAAATCATCTTGGAAGGGGTCTCAAATCAAAATCTGCTAGGTACAGTTCTTCATCCAGTAAGTTCAGAGTTTTGTCTTGATGTGTTTAAAAATTGGCAGCCATCGCTAACTATTGTGTAGGCAGCCATTGTTCACTATTGTGTAGGCAACCATTGTTAACTATTGTGTAGGCAGCCATTGTTAACTATTGTGTAGGCAGCCATTGTTAACTATTGTGTAGGCAGCCATTGTTAACTATTGTGTAGGCAGCCATCTATTATGTATGCAGCCATTGCTAGCCATTATTGTATAAAATGTACAAAACATACTTCCAAATTCCTCAGCTATAAAGAAAAAGGGGGTTCAAAATTTACCAAAAATGTATTTGATAGGGCTTGCAATTTTGTTCCAACTTACTATACTTTGTACAAATACAATGACTCAAGTCACGAAATAAGCAGACCTGTTTACTCTTACGATTTTGGCGTACAATATACGATTTTGAGGTGTATAGATTGTATATACTGTATGTTTTTTTTTTACTATGAAAATAACGTATTAAATGACATTGTGATAATATTATACGATTTTATGAGTTTGAGGGTAAACAGGTCTGAATAAGTGATTTTTTCAAATACTCTTCTGTCCCTCTTTCTCTATTCCTGATCTGAAAAGGCTTGTACATTTATATTTGCAGTAATACTGAAACTGATTTATGAAAAGAAACACATTTTTTTTTTTGTAGAATGGCAATATCACAGAGTTTTTGTTGAAAGAAGGTTTTGCTCGTTGTGTAGACTGGTCGATGGGAGTTGTTTCTCAAGGAGCTGAAAAACTTCGCGCTGCTGAAAAGTAGGTACACTTCGTGTAGCATCAAAGTAGGTTACAATGTGCTAATATTAATGTTGATATTTTTTAGAGGTATTATTTCTGTGTTAGAGAATCAGATACAGGGTTCTTCCAAATTTGTGCTTGCCCGTGGATGACTTCCATTTTTTCCTGTCGGGTTGATTCCAAAATCATGTTTGCTCTAACCTCAATTCCAGTTAGTTTTGTAGGAATACTTTCAATCTGAATGATTTCTTTCCTTTCAATTCCCAGCATTTTTTCCCCTAAAAAATTAAACCAGTTTTTAAACCCAACTGGCTGACCTAGTAGTTTAATAAAAGGGCATCCAGTGAAATAGGATTATATCAGCAAAAATTGGATTACATCAGCCATAATGGGATTATTTATATACGCCATATCTTAATCATTGCATAAATTATAAACAAATTTGGGTGAACTGCCCTTTCATTTGAAATTCTCCATTTTATTTCTGCAGATCTGCCAAGGATAAGAAGCTTAGGATATGGAAAGATTACAAACCGTCAGAGTCAAGCATAAACATCAAAGACAAGTCATTCTCTGGAAAGGTGAACATTTTTACAGCTTAGTTATAATGTCAAAAATGTCCCTTTTTTTTCTGGCATCCATCCATCACAATGGTGTAGACTTGTCACAATGTGATGATGGTGTGGACTTGTCACAATGTCATGATAGTGTAGACTTTGCAGGATGAAATCACAACCCCTGGGATTTTTTTATTTCGGAGGATAAGATGTTTCCCTAGACGGAAAATCACATCTCTCCACGCACCTGGATAACCCAAGGGAACATCATGTGTGGATGTTACAGCATGGCATCGGTGCCGTCGCAGGAACGGAATTATCATAGTAACAATGTCATTCCCCGCCTACGGGACTCCATCTCCGGGTTTGAATTCAGAGTTTCCCTTCTCTTAGATGAGTTGCCATCCAAGGTTAACGAGTCCCATCCACCCGGGGTGCTGGTGGTGTTTTTGCTCTCCTCATCTTTTGCTGGGGATTGAACTCCAGTCCACAAACTATGGATTGACTCTGTTAAGACCGCTCGACAAAAGTATACAAACAATAATTTTATGTGATTGCTCAAATGTTGCAGCTCACTTGGTAATAATAATAATAGTCATGTTTGTACCATAAAAAATGAACACATTTTGAAAATGGCATTTTACCACTTATGAATGTACCTGGAACTGGTTTATAACCAAGTCTTTTCAAAATGTTTTGTTACCATTTATGAATGTACCGGAAAATGGTTTATAACCAAGTCTTTTCAAAAGTTACTCCCCTTTTTAGTTTTGCTAGGCAGCGTACTTTGTTTAACCTTTTTATACTTTTTTCAAACTCTTTTTATATGTTCTTTACATTGTCAAACCTTTTAGTCTCATTTTATACATACTTTACATTCTCAAAACTGGTATTAATTTGCCTATACTATAAATTGTCTCATTTAATTTTAAACTGTGCATTATTTCTTTCAGGTTGTTGAAGTTGTCAATGGAGATGGTCTTGTAATCAAATTAGAAAACTCATTTAAAAAAGTTTTCCTTGCAAGCATTAGACCCCCACGGTAAGAACAATTTGAAGCAGTTATCTTACTTTTAAGCACTGGGTCTTATGGTTTATTTTTAGAACTCTTTTTATGAATTTTTCAAGAGAAATGAATATTTTACTTGTAACAAAATTGATATCCATTGGGGGAAAAGTCCTAGCAGTCCTATGGTGTCAAACTGATTTTATGAATACCTCGGTACCTAATTTTTTCTTATTGTAACATTTTTTTTTTTTACGGGTGACTAGTTTCAACATGTTCATGTTATTACTTGCATAATATGATGCTCCATTTCTTATTATTGGAACAAACTTGTATGACAGAAATATATGTAGATGTCATACTTTACTGAAACACCAATGATAATAATAAATGCTGCATATTTCTATGTTATGAATGCGTCCATCTCCAATGCAGTTTGTTTTATTCTTAGCCCTGCAGATGCAACAGGGGATGGTCCGGTTAAAGAAACAACAAGCAAGAGATCCAGACCCCTCTATGATATTCCCTACATGTTTGAGGCCAGGGAGTTTTTGAGGAAAAAACTGATTGGGAAAAAGGTATTTGGGATTTTAAATAAATATTTTCTCATCAATGGGTTCTCAAAGAGTGCGCTTGTGCTGCTATGAAATCTGAAATTTTTTTTGCGAATCAAAATCTAGTTAAGAGGGTTACAAATATAATTTTTTGTACAAGAATGGAAAAAAAGTTAAATTCAAAATAAAAGTGTAAAGGCTCAGGCAAAGATGGTTTGATTCCACTGTCCTAAACAGTATTTCAAAAGATGCTAAGAATTTTTGGAAACTAGTATAGGACTGATTTTTTCCTGGACATAAATCCAAGGTGTTGCTGAACTGTTGTGTTATTTATAATTTTGCTCTAAGACATTATAAAGACTTATCCCCAAATCCTTGAGACGTGTTTTCTGAAAGTTGTTCTGCATGACCTACATGAAAGGTTATACTATGTAAAAAGATTTTTAAAATGTTTCCATACCAGTTTATTCATTTCTTTGCAAAAGATATTGTGTTAACCAAGTACTAAACTGTTCAGGTGAATGTAGAGGTTGATTACATTCAACCGCCAAACCAAGGTTACCCAGAGAAAACTTGCTGTACAGTCACCATTGGTGGAATGTAAGCATTGCATATTTGTCATTCGTTCTCTGTACACTTGCTCGTTATCATGTATTCGACTTCAACAAATTTAAAGCCTGGCACAAAAATAAAATATCTCTCTTTAATATTGGGCTTTAATAAACACACGCTTTACCCGTTGAGATGATTTTTTAAGAAGACATCTCTTGGGTACAGAAAGCAACTTTAAAAAACAAATTTAATTCCCCGGTTTTTATTTCAAGTAATGTCGCTGAAGCCCTCATCAGTAAAGGGCTGGCCACTGTGATCAGATACAGACAAGATGACGACCAGAGGTCGTCCCACTATGATGAATTGTTAGCTGCTGAAGCGAGGGCTGTGAAAAAAGGAGCTGGACTTCACAGTAAGAAAGAAGCGCCCATCCACAGAGTCGCAGATGTATCAGGGGTAAGTCATTTGGTTTTGGTCGGGTTGACCTGTTTGAAAGTTTAATCATCATTAAAAACAATTGTCCTTTGAAACATCCATTAACGGCATTGGTCGGGAGCACCGAGTGCCACTTCAATTTCATTGTTCACTATTTGTCAAATAAAGACTGTTGACATTAAAACGAATCAGAAAATTCGGTATGAAAGATACAATTATTGACATTGTTTTTGTCCGAGCAGGATGTAGCTAAAGCCAAACAGTTCCTACCATTCTTACAAAGAGCTGGAAGATCAGAAGCCGTTGTGGAGTTCATTGCCAGTGGATCAAGATTAAGACTGTATCTACCCAAAGAAACCTGCCTCATCACTCTTCTCATTTCTGGTCTGTTGGTTTTTTTTTTTTAAAGAGAAAGCTACACTTAGTCTAAACCTACACTGGTAGTCTATTGCAGTATTTTTCATCAGTTTATGTTAACTAGCTGTGCTAGCTTTATTAGATAGAAGTGCTTGACTCTATATTATGTGCTCTTCCCCCCCCCCCCCCCCCCAANTCCAAACCAGGAATTGAATGTCCAAAAGGAGCTAGAACGTTACCTAACAACCAGAGCTTCCCTGCTGAGCCTTTTGGAGAAGAAGCTTTGCTCTTCACAAAAGAAATGTGTTTACAACGAGAGGTATGGATATTGTATAATCTGAAGATATATGTTTTTTTAAAAAGCAAATGACATTTTAAAACATAATAATTAGGTTAGTTTTAAATTTTGACTATTTTAAGGACACTCACTTGATAGAACTTTTTAATACAGGAATTTTGATACCTGGTTTATTACAGTAGCTCAATAAATACAAAAAGTTATGAAGTTTTAAAATTTGATAAAAATCGATACAAAACTGGCAATTTTTTATTTTGTCAAATCGTCCATTTTTGTGGAACCATAACTACTAAACTAATAATCCTAGAAATCCAAACTTGGTGTACTTGCTCAAAAGTTTACATATTTAAAGCCCAATATTTTTAAAGCAGCTATAAACATTAATTCAAAAGTTATTAAAAAATAAAAAATAACAAGATTGCTTTTTAGTCGTTTTTATTTTCCGACTGCAAAAGTGGGAAAATACACAATTTCAAAAATTTGCTTAAAAAATTGCATTGTCTTACATTTCATTTATACCATTGTTTTTATACTCAATTTGAAAAGCATTATCAGCAATTATGTTTATTTTGCTAGTCATTACAATGCCAGATAAAGCTACAGGATATTATAAACCCAATTGACCTATGCATAATATAGGAGCCAGAATGATCAATTCATTGATCATTCTTTGATCGTGGGCCCTTAAAATAAAGAAGAAGAAGAAGATAATTTTAAGCAGCACAACATGCACTATGCCTTAATAGCGTCAAGAAACATTTAAAGGCACTAAAATAAGTTTGAAAGTACCCACTTAACGATTTTTTATTTTTTTTTACAAAAGTAAGGTTTTAAAAAATGTGTTTAGAAAATACATGTTATCACATAATTGTGATAAAGGCGAAGCAATATGATGTCAGATGTGTTAACTATTAACTAAAAGACAAATAACAAAAGTGAATGCAGAGTATCATGAAAAATAGATGGCAATTAAGCATGAATTTAAATTAAATATTTGGGAAATGCGCTGCCTATCTACTGGGGGGTGACTGTCAGGGTAAGCTTCTGTAAGTAATATTTAATAGCGTTGTTGGTCTTATTCCCCTGTAGCTTGAAAAGTGCATTATCAATAGCAATCATCAACTCTAGCCACAATGTTTGACCAAGGGTCATCACAGGTTTCTCCACTATGGAATAAACAATTCAATTCAGACCGTGCAGCATACAATATTGTTTTAAGTACAGTAAATCATTAATCATTGGATCTGGGATTCCATAATTCTTATTTTAATGAAAGAAGTATGTTTGAACTGTTTAAATAGTGATAGAAATATTTTTTTACCAGAAGTCAAATCCAAGTCTCGGGACAGTTCTCTCTGTAGTAGCATTGTCTTTGCTTTCTGACTGTACAGTGTCCTCCAAGGCCAAGGGCCAGCTTCCTTCACCGCCATCATTGATAGTCACCAGTTAATAGATTCAATAATCAAATGAAAAAAAAGAATCATTATTAAACTAGTCACTATTGTGTGGCATCAATATTGCACAAATGTTTTGTTAAAGTTAATTAGGACAATTTGAGATTTCTAGGCATTGGGTGAGTCCATTTTATTAGGCCTGAGATAAACGTAAGGTAGTGGCGGTAGTGCTGGCGAGTCTAAGATCAAATAATATTGCAACAATTCAAACTCAGAAGTAAGTTTCATTGAATTGAAATACATTTTGAACAACCTCATTGTCAAAAAAAGCTTACAAATTTTTATTCAATTATCTTGTGTCATATAATGTTTTATTCACTTGACGCCTCCTACCACAGATGATAATTTGCGTCGGTCCACCCACATGCAGTCTTGCCGGCATTCATTTTTATCTTCTTGATCGGACAGAAACCCCCTATAACATCAACCATAATAACTTTTTAAAATCGTATCTTTAAAATGGACCCAGACACGCACCCGTTCGCACCCGGGTACCATTATACTCCAGCGCTTCGAATGTCATTTGTGGTAGTTTATTTTAGTTAAAATGAAGAAGTAAGTTTACAAATGTCAAGTCCATTCAATTATCTTTCATTTGATACCTCATTTTGTCTTACAAACCCAACAATAATATTTTTAATAGTTTTTTAATCTTAACCTCACACTTCTGGTACCTGGCCTCGAATAATCGCAACCTTTATAAAATACAGTAACAGATCAAACATTATCCTGTCTACAATGAGTCAATCAATGTTTTTGATCACTAACTCTCCTCAATTAAATACATTTTGTCCAATCAACAACATGTCTCCCAGCCAAGTTCACAATCAACACAATGGTTCCACATCCTTAAAATTTATCCAATATCTGACACAATCTATGTTTAACTCATTTCTAACCAACATTTTCAGTTACTAATACATTATATGATAGTTTAATTCTTTTACTTACTTGTTGATTCAAGTCTCAAACATGGCTAAAAAGCTCCAGCGCGCATCAAGCGGCTAATGCTAGCGGTGTGGAACTGAAAATGGGTTTTTTATTGTAAACATCGCCGCTTCACGCCTATCATTTCCACTCATTTGATCTTATGTATTAAATAGTAAAAAACCTCAGCTTGCCTATGGTGTAAAGAAAGTACTAATATCTGTGTGTTTACTCCCATCTTTCTTTTACGAAAGTTTTCAACCGGCTTTTTCAAAATGAAATAAGCAAGGTAGATATACTTTCTATATATCAAACAAAAGCCCAAGATCCTTACTTTCAAGTGGTAGAAAAATTATGCTTCTCAGTTGATTAGGTGCGGAGTGCTAGATAACACGAGTCAAAACAAAAATTTACAAACAAGTTTTGAAAGCCGCTGGCGAAATGGACCCCCCCCGCCCCCGCCGACTTTTCATAATTATAAAACATTCTCATAATACATTTAATTAACATAAAAATTGCATATTCTGTTAGATAAGAGTTAAACTTTAATCTCATATTAATTTTATTTGTGTAGAATTAGTACAAGTGAGTCAAATATCCATCTCAAAAACAATAAAAATAGGGAAAAAGGCTGATTTTCCCGGTTTGTTTATTTATTTATTTAGGCATTTTTTATATAGCGCTTACCTTAAAGCTCTAAGCGCTTTACAATTATTAAAAACATGTAAACTAAGTAAAATAAAAATGAGACACTAGGATAGTAACTACTATACTATAGATATTATGTTGAACTAACAATAATAATTAATAAATAATGTCAAAAAATTGTCAGGATTCAATTATTGTCCCAGATTAACAATGTATCTACATAAAGGAAAATGTGTACATTAGTTAGAAGCATTATAATTAGTAATGTAGTAGAAATCAAGTTTTAAAAAAATAATTTTATTCATCTTTTTTTTTGCTATTAAGAATTATTTAAAAGGTGTGGTGGATTTGATTCATTTTTAACATTTAAGTTTTAAAATATCACTCCTACCATAAACAGAGTATCGAATTTTTGGGTGAGTAAAATATTTGTAAAAAAATTAAATCAGGGTTGATATTGTTAAAGGTCTTCATGTCAGAAGGGATTACAGGTATTTTTATATCGAAGGATGTTGGGCTAAAATAACGTTGGTATAGTTTTCATTGTGGTTTTTGTTTCGTTTGTCTTCAGTGATCTTGGAACTGAATAATATCACATGCATTTTGATTATAATAATATTTTATTTAAGCCATTAGTTGGAGAGCCATTTTTAAAAGTTAATTTTAGTTCCACGTTGGGTTTGAGAGTAATGTGTGGTTTATTGATGGTTATATTTTTCTTCAAAAGTTGTGCAAGAGAAATGAATTTTCCCTTTTTTTAAAATGATTATTTAAAAATTTTGTGCATACCGGTACCATTAAATTAAAGCTTTACTTTATATTTTTGTCTAGGTGGAAGTTGAAGTTGAGGGCATCGACAAAGGTGGCAACTTTATTGGTTGGCTGTTTGTTGATGGGACCAACCTGTCTGTCGCTTTGGTAGAGGCTGGTCTCGCAAAGGTCCATTTCACAGCAGAGAAGAGCTCTTTCTACAAAACTCTACTAGAGAAGGAAGCTAAAGCCAAGCTGGACAAGTTTAAGGTATGTACAGACAATCATCTTAGGATGCCCGCTGGTCCTTTTTGTTTGCATTAACTCTCCACTCACCATGATGACTGATCCCTAAGCTTATGGAGCTCTGTTGCTCTCGTGAGGACATTTTCCAACGCTTTGTCTGAGTGAATTTTTAAAAATAATAACTGTCTTTTAAAAATTTTATTTGTCGAGTATGGTATTCGTTTTGATATTTTTGCACGACAGCAAAAAAAACGTTTGGCTCTCCGGCCAGTTGAGTTGTTTTAATCAATATTTTCCAACATGATATTTCAAGGAGTCGTAACTTTCTAAACAGATTTGGGCTAATTACGTGGAGGAGAAGGAGATCAAAGTAGAAGAGGAGCCGGTTGAGAGGAAGGTCAGTTACAGCCGCGTGATTGTTACAGAGGTCACGGACTCATTGACATTCTTTGCTCAGAATGTTGATAATGGTAAGCTTCTGTGGTTCCTTGAGAAAAGGGAGTAGAAGTTAACTCTTTGCAGCTCATGGGTTTTTGTTCTTTTTTAAAAATATTTTTTAGGTCATCTCACATAATGGGATACCATAAAAAGTTTAGCTAATTAATACCCATCATGTTTTGTGTTCAATTGTTCAGAAATGGATGGAGATTCATATTTTGTAAATTGTGCTTGAAAAGGATTGTGTTTTCTTACAATCATGTTTAAAGTGATAAAAAAATGATTTTACATATTAACATTTTTTCTTAACACAAACAACATACTATAGGAAGTAAAAAAAAGCAAAAATAGTTTAAAATTTATTGTTTTTTAATTCCGCAATCAAATATACAAAATCCAAAATAATAATTTTACAAATACAAACTGTTGGGTTTTTGAAAATAATTTTTGTGTGAAATATGCGTAAATAGTGTTTTTAATAATAATAATAATGATAATAAAGTTAATTTGAAAATCATGCTTCATCCCCAAAGGCTCGAAGCGCGGTACATAGTCTAGTATATTAAAAGAGAAATCAAACAATCTATAACATACCACATTGAAATACAAAATGCAACATTGCAAAAAATATACGAGAATACCCATGCTAAGTCTTACATACCTAACAACCATAAACAACACAGGCCAATACACATCCACAAGATAATAGCTAGATCGACTACATCATCCCAGAAGATGTTTGCGAAATAGATATGTCTTCAAATCAGTTTTGAAAGACTCCATTTTTGTGGTTAAATTTTGACAAGTGACCCAATTATGCAAAATTATTCAAATACAAAGTTTAAAACCTATTTTATTTATATTTAAAAGTTTATATTTAATACAAGTACATTTAAAAATATATTATAACAAATAATTTGAATAATTTTGTTTTTAAATTATTGAAATTTAAATAGATAATAAATAAATAGAAAAATAATAATAATAAAGTTAGGGCTTACATAACTAAATCAGGCCTAAACATATACAAAACAGTCTGAGTCTTTTGAGCCTAAGGGATGTTCTAACAATCAACAATTATTTCAATTAGATCGAAATTTTTACCACATTTCAAACAATTAATTACCATTACAGTCTCACACTCTTTCTTTTCGAGACAGTAACACCGCAGCATAGAATTAGTCTCACGTCCATAAATAAAGAAAATCTAATAAAATGTTCTGTGGGTGGTAATTTCTTCCAGTTAGTGTAGAGCTACTTTTTTTTCTTCTCATGCGGTTGGCATTAGAATTGGCGTAGTCACAAATTTTCAACATGACAGCAAAAGAGTGAAGAAATTTCCTGTGGACGATAATTAGTTCATTTGTAAATTGCAGGTTAGCATGACATAAAAGCAGGATTTTATTGATATAACACAGATCTACCAATATAATAACAGCTTTAATAATATAAATTATTATATAAAAAGAGAATAACTTATATTATAAGAAAAGTGATATTTTAAAAAAAAAATAATTATCAAGCATAAAATCTAAATCTTAGTATTTTAGGCCTATGCCTATAGCCTATTCATTAGTACTGCAATTATAAGATCAAATATTCCTTAGGGTAATAAGGGGAGAGACTGCAATCAGGTCAGCACAATATAAAATGAGTAAAACAGAGTAGCGTCATTTCTAGTTGTCTTTTTTTTCAAAGCAGCTAGCTCGAATCGGTTCTCGACAAGAAAACAAAATGGACGATGTAAACTTGTCTCGGTCGCATTTGTATAATAATAATTTACCTTAATTTTTATAAATTACAACCATTTTACTATAACACTAATTTTATTTAACTAAATAAATGATAAATATTACAACAAATAATATTTTTTTTAAGTAAGCTCCTCCCCTTTCCTATTGGCGAAAAAGCCGGATTTCTCCATGTTTGGGCCGTACAGAGTTAAAAAATATATACAAGCATTTTGAACAAAGGATGCATCTAACAGTTAAGCATTCCAATAAATAAGTTTGAGATTTTTCTATACAATTTCTTATTCCTCCCTGCTAAACAGGAGCAACACTAGAAAAATTGATGGAAGATTTGAGACAAGAAATGGAATCGAACCCACCACTCCCTGGAGCATATACTGCGCGAAAAGGGGAAGTATGTGCCGCTCGCTTCTCACAGGACAACCAGTGGTACAGAGCCAAAATAGAGAAAATTGAAGGCAGCACCGCTTCAGTTCTTTTTGTTGATTATGGCAATGTAAGTGGTGAAACATAGCATGTTTTAAAAAAAAAATATCGATTTGAAACCTTTGGGTTTTTGTGATGAATGTTTAATATTTTCTATTGTAACATTTCTACGACTTCCAAGTTGCTTATTTCAGTTATTAGGAGTATACAACCGTAATATAGCCTTTCATTTGCTTATTTCAGTTATTAGGAGTATACAACCCTAATATAGCCTTTCATTTGCTTATTTCAGTTATTAGGAGTATACAACCGTAATATACCCTTTCATTTGCTTATTTCAGTTATTAGGAGTATACAACCATAATATACCCTTTCATTTGCTTATTTCAGTTATTAGGAGTATACAATCCTAATATAGCCTTTCATTTTCCTCCAGAGAGAAAAAACACCTGTGTCCGGTTTATGTTCACTGCCAGCCAACTTCAAGACTTTACCTCCTCAAGCTACTGAGTACACTCTGGCCTGTGTGGCGGTACCCAGTGATGTAAGTTTGTAAAAAAAAATTTCCTTATTGAAAATCTGTCTTGTTGGTATTATCCTTTCAACTTCAATAATGATCTTTCAGTTTTAAATATTCAATATACAGGGCTCATTAAAAAATGTCTATAATTGATTCCCCCTTATTTCTCGCCACTTATAAAAGGCTATTGAAAAAACTTTGTTTTTATTCATACTGATTCTTCTTTTCAATGTAGGAAGAAGCAAAGCAAGATGCCGTTGATGCTCTATGCCATGACATCATCAACCAGACGATGCTTCTTAATGTTGAGTACCGCGGAGGAAGCGGAAGCCCTGACTTCGTGTCGCTGAAGCACGCTGAAACAGAAGACGATGTTGTAACGGGGCTTGTGACAGAGGGCTACTTGACGGTGGAAGCTCGTAAAGAAAAGAGGCTGGCAAAGATTGTCTCCGAGTATCAGAAAGCACAAGAAGAGGCCAAGAGACTGAGGGTGAGTGGGAAATTAAAATGTTCACCAAAAACAAAAGTGTAGTCACTAAGACATTCATAATGATTTGGACCTGGTATCGTAATGATTTGGATCTGGTATCATAATGATTTGGACCTGGTATCATAATGATTTGGACTTGGTACTCAACTAAATCAAAATATATTTCTTGCTGGAATGTCTTTTTTCATTCAATTTGTTAAAATGTCATCCTAATTTGCAACATTAACAGCAAATAATCTATTCTATGATCTCATCTACAGAAAAACCTGTGGCGCTATGGAGATTTCAGAGAAGATGAGGCCAGAGAGTTTGGGTACACCCGTTAATGAGGGCAAAAAGCTATGCTAACACGAGTTCAAACTAGTTTTCTAATAGTCCCCTAATTTTACAGTTCAGTGTGCATTATTTTTTAGTGATAAAATACTTTTTTCTTACAATTTCTGTAACTTGAAGAACTGCAAATTTTTCTGTAAAGTGTAAAATTTATTTGAGGTACCGGTACCGGTTTTAAACTACTGCAAGATTATACATTTTTTAATAGATCAATGGTTGGCAATCAATAGATGCAGCTTATTTATTTTTTTTACTATTCTATAATGAGAAGCTGCTTCCAAACTGTTCTTATAGCAGACACATAATTTATAAAAAATGGTTCCTCACACAAAAAGTGTGCTGGTCTAGATGATTTTATATGCAACTTATGTTAGAAGCATACGTTCAATATTGAACGTTTTAATCACAAAAGGCCTATTTTTAGTGAATCCTTCCTAAAAAAAATTAATAGGTACACTGAGCTTAAATGTTACGTGGACTGATGTCTCCTACACAAGTACTCGCTAGGCATTATACATTGAATTATTTCTTTTACTATGAGAGAATGTTACTATATATATACATTTAATATTCCTTTTTTTTTTCTTTCCACAAATGCAGTCAGAAAATGTATGTATTTATTAATGATTCATGTATTTATATATCTCAAAATGTTCTTTTGAACGAGATTCACGCATGGATCTGTAAGGCCGCATTTTACACTTTTTAATTCAAAGAGATGTGTTCATGGTGACATTGCGTGTGAGTTAAGTCTGATGCAGGGTGGATTTAGGACCTTTGAGTTGAACCAAAGGCAAAAGTTAAGTTAGCATTAACCAAAGCAATGTTGGTAATATTTGGTTAATCTATTGCAACAATGTGTCATTAGAATTCATCTCCATGTTGGTATATCTGAAACAGGTTGAATTAGTAGGACATGAACAAATCAAAGGAGACCCTTCTGTTTCATTAAACTTAACTTTAAATTTGATTGAAATCTTTTCTGGATCTCCCTTAATCTCTAAAGTGTTTGCAGTAACCTTGTCCAATCTTACTTATCTTGTTTTCTGACTGTATTCTTGCTCCAGGTGGTAATGGGAATCAAAAGAGATTGGCACAGCAGATGTGTTTTATGACTGTTACCTCTTCCTCATCAAATTATTTTATCATTGGCATGATTGTGTAAACTGAGATTGACTCTACTTTTGAATATTACACCCAAAAAACATTTAAAAATTGTGTACTGCATTTAAACTACTGGTTGAAAAAAGTAATCTTTAATTTTTATTTCATTACCATGATGACCAATGAGATATTGACAATTTTTAGCATTAAAAGCATTTAGCTGACTGGACATTTGACTGGATCAAAATATGACTGTTTTGCCAAATAAACTGTTTGTGCTAAAACTAAAATAAAGTTGCTTTGTTTTTTTTAATAATTTTTTTGTCACAGAATCTAATTTTTTTTTATATAATAACATATTTATGATAGGCAAGTTAGTACTGGTAATGGTGTCATAAAACCTTTAAGTAACTTAGACAAAGTCTTTCAAATGTAACAAAGCATTTTAAAAATGAAAAAAAATATTTTTTTTATATTACATTATAATTTATGAAGATAACTTAAAAAATTAAACTGGTGTCTTATTAATAATAATATATTGCATAATTTAAAATAAAAATATACAAACATTTAAGTCATAACTTAAGTCAATAGGTCATCTGATCTTATAATTATGTACAATCTGTACTTGGGGTTGGCATCCCCTGAAATAACTCTTCCCACTCAGGGGGAGGGGGGTGTGTGTAACCCCCACATTTAGAATACCTACTCCCACAATGTATGTAGTAGTTGTTAAACCCACACAAAGCTTGGGGTGGAGAACCTATATTACCAGTCAATGGTCAACATATCAGAACTCACCTAAAAAAACATACTGGTAATAAATTTAACTGATAACCAGTGGTTGAAATTTTAATTTATAGGTGGAAACCTAGTTATCACTTAACCACCTTACTTTATATTTATAGAGTTAGAGAGAACAAATATATATGCTTTTAACTTTCAATTCACCAATAGTAATAGTCTTAAATATGTCAAAGACAGACAATTGGTTTTATGTAACAAGAAAGTTTATTTCACCATTTAATTCCTCCCCCTGTAAAGGGGAAAATGAAGACAATCTTTCAAAGGAATGTAGAAATCCCTTTTACAGTGACAGTAATTATTTAATCCTTGCACATGTCATTCAACAAACTTTCATTCATTCAAAATGAATTAACTAAGAGCTAAATCTTGTTCATTCACAAAAACTGAAATCTATCAATAATTGCAGCAGCTCATCTTGGCTATGCTACGTGGCATTGGTAATACAATTCATGGCAGTGTTTTAAGTTCATAAGAATAAGTTTATATATAAAAAAAAAAAATCAGTTGCAATGCCAAGGAATTCAGTCAGTCACCAACAGCAATTTTAAAAACAGATGAGTTAAAGGATAATGTCCAAAAAGAATGTCTGGTTCTTAGTACCTGTACTTAAAAGTGCTCAGTTGGTTGGGTCATGAATGGGGATACAAAAGTTGAAATCACTTTTAAGATAACCCTAACATGTGCTAAGTACCAGCATGTCTTTTGGGTTCAGAGATTTGAAATAGTCAAACATCGTTGCAGCATCCAAAAACCAGTCGCTCCGCTACTTCAGCACATGTTCAGTAATTTTGTCCGATATTCCAAAGTACAAACTCAGAATTTATAAATGTTCTATAATGTATATTGGAATTTTTTTAAACATTATTAGATAACCAATGAAAATATTTTTATTTTAGCAAACTAAAAACAACAACATTAATTTGGTTCTTTGACCAAATATCAAGAAAACATCATGAAACAGTAAATAATGACAAAAATGTTGTTTCACAGATCTAACAACAATCTGTTGGATATCAATATCAACCTTAAAACTGAAATCTTCCTTCAGACAGGTGATGATCACCCTAATCAAATTTAATGAACCATCAAGTACTCATAGAATCCGTTAGAACACCATCAAATGTCAATTCATCCTTCCGCGCTTATCTCCGAATTTACTTTCACGACTTGGCTGTAGGATAGTTTACATGAATCGGTCTTCATCTTGTCCGTGTTCTCCAAGGCATCTCCTGCTCCCTTCTCCTTACCATGCCCTCCGATATCACCATTCATTTGAATCAAAGTTGCACTGCTCCCACCCATAGTCTTTGCACTTTTTAGGTTAAGATTGTGGCAAAGAATTTTTGCATCCCAAGCACAAGTGTAGAGGTTCGAGTCACTGGACCAGGTGAGACCACGAACAAAGTCAGTATGTGTTGTATCTGAATACCTGCAGACAAAAACATTAAACTGAATAAATCCTCATTGGTTTAATAAGAAAGAATTAATTCGCTTAAATTAATTACTAAAATAAGTTACTATTTAGATTATCGCGCAGTACTCCCAGCCTAGGGTTAGGCTCACTAAGCTTCACATAAAAATTAGCAATTACAGAAGCGTAAATAATTTAAAAAGAATTGGTGAAAAGCTTGACCTCACCCACCTATATACTATCTAATCCTATCTAGCCATGGACAGCACCCAGCTATATACTATCTAATCCTGTCTAGCCATGGACAGCACCCAGCAGAATCCAGTGTTGATACCAGGGGTATTTAACTTTAACATATATTTTGACTAAAGTGTACATAAATTCTCTCTCACTGGAATCAACAGGAGCTATAAATCTTTAGTGTAATAAAATTACTTTGCAGGATAAAATAAAGTCTTAAAACCACTCAGACAAAGCGTTGGATGTAAAATGTCATCATTTTGTTGTCACAACAACACTTTCATCATTATGGTTAGCTAATGTACATTAGCCTAGTAATACCATTTGCCATTAGCCTAGCCTTTGTGGGCAAACATGAGGACCTTTTGATAAAAGAATTTCTCTGATGATCTATGCGGCCATACTTCTTAATGTCCCATAAAAATTTAAATCACCTTTCCACATAATAATTTTGAAAACACAAAGGTCTGGTCTAAATTATTATTGGTAGATTTTGCTGATTATACTATACACTTATCAATGGTAAAAAAAAAAAAAAAAAAAAAAAAAAAAAAAAGAGAAACTAAAAAAATTTTTTTTTTTTTTTTTTTTTTTTTTTTTTGAGTAGTTCTATAAAAATATGTATTTACCCAAGGAATAATCTAAAAGAAACCAGTTAGATCTGGATCCATCAGTGAATTCACATTTTTCAGGAGCCCTATGAAAATAAGTCAAATCTTTCTTTGACAATATTCTAAGCACTTACACTTCGACTATGCTTTCATCATCTATTAAGGACACAGCTGTTTTGCAGTCTTCACCCACTGATGCCAGCAAGGAAGGCCTGGGGAGAACACATTTATTCATGTCAGATATCCTTTCGGTAAAAGAAGACTTGATTCCCCCCAAATCAAAACAGCAATATTAAATCTAATATTTACACTCAAAGAACCAAAAACTTGTTTCATTTTAATCTTTGAAATGATGTTTAAAATGTAAGGGGCTGCTTGCATCCCTACTAACTTAGTGTATGTGAAAAAATGTAACATTTTCCCAACCATAGACCTTTACAAATAAATGAATAAATGGGTCTTACATAAAATAGATTTATTAATGACGAATAACCAAAGTAGATTGTTAAATTATTATTGCATTATTTTAAATATAATAAAATGTTCCCCCCAGTCATTTTGGGTATCTTTTTCTTTACAAACACTGTAGTTGTAGACAATACAAAAGTGTGTAACACACATCACCGCCCCCCCTTAAAGTTACTCACTTATAAGGCTAACTATTTAATTAATCCCAACTTACTTGTCTGGACTAAACTGGAGATTGTGTACAAGTCGAGTGTGTGGTGTGCTAGTGAGGTAGTTGTCCACTCCGACCCGTATATCCAATAAAGCTATCTGACCACTTTCTGTTCCCACCCCAAGCTTGTGCACCTGGCCAGGCTGCCACCTTACACATGTGGGTGTGTACTCAAGTGGAGATTTATCTGTGGGGGAAAAAAAAAATAAGAAAAATTTAAATAACAGCAAAACAAGGCATGTCTAAAACTTTACAATAGAAAGTGAAAAAACTCCAGAAGTTGACCACTCAGACAAAGCGTTGGATGTAAATGTAATCAGTACTAGCTCAGATTTGTAGGTCATCACGGTGGTAACTAGCACATGAGCAGCAGAGTTTAGGAGTCTGCCACTGTTTGGTAGGGGTGCCAAGCAGCAACAATGCTTTCAAGATTGTTTTGTATCTGCAGCTGAGAACTTAATAATTAGTTACTTTTTAGGACACGGTAAAAAAATGTTTTTCTTTTTACAAAGCTGGAGGTGTTCATTAGCAACCACTGCTACACTTTAATGTGCCAAAATTAACACTTCCAATAGCTCAGATTTAAACAATGACAACAACACTCAGTTCCCAACTTTAAAATTGATATTGAAAAAAAATTTCAGTGAGACAAGGGGAGAAAAATTGAAGCTCTGTCCAAGTTTAAGTACGATTAAAATAATAATTATCCCTTGATGAATTAGGAATCTCTATTTGGATAAGCTTCACATATTAACCTGAAAAAAATATATGCTAATCTAAATTTAAACTCTTGATAGCTGACCACTCAGACAAAGCGTTGGATATGAATGTAATCACTGTTCAGATACAATAGGTCGTCATCACAGTGGACACTTATCTTCAGAGAAGAGCACGGCTTGAAAGATGGTGATATCACCTGTTTGTTAAGGGGGTTCCTTTTTTTTTTTTGCTTTTTTTTTGGTGCATAAATCTGTTTTTGTTTTAATGAAGACATTGATTTTTGTGATAGTTAATGAAGACATTGATTTTTGTGATAGTTAATGAAGACATTGATTTTTGTGATGGTTAATGAAGACATTGATTTTTGTGATAGTTAATGAAGACATTGATTTTGTGATGGTTAATGAAGACATTGATTTTTGTGATGGTTAATGAAGACATTGATTTTTGTGATGGTTAATGAAGACATTGATTTTTGCGATGGTTAATGAAGACATTGATTTTTGTGATGGTTAATGAAGACATTGATTTTTGTGATGGTTAATGAAGACATTGATTTTTGTGATGGTTAATGAAGACATTGATTTTGTGATGGTTAATGAAGACATTGATTTTTGTGATGGTTAATGAAGACATTGATTTTTGTGATGGTTAATGAAGACATTGATGTTTGCGATGGTTAATGAAGACATTGATTTTTGTGATGGTTAATGAAGACATTGATTTTTGTGATGGTTAACTCTCAAAAGACGGGAGATTGAAAAATCGGTCATATATGGCGGGTGAAAAGAACGACCACTAAAATATATATAAAAATAATATTAAAAGGCGAAAATA